TTTGATGCAATCAAAAACATTTAAGTAAGTCTTGTTTTTTATGAAATTGGAGTTTTGAGCTAGAAATGGTGAAGTTCTTTAGTCTTTTTATTTTTTCGAAAAGATTGAATTCAATTCATGATTTAAAAGTTTCAACATTGGAGGCTTTACATTTAACTTTTGATGTTTTAGGATCTTTAAAATCATAAGAAAGACGTAAATACATATCTCCTGCTATAATTTCTTATAACTTATATATTTTTTTGGATAGTCTAAATTATTATCTTTTTTTTGGAAAATATGCTCAAACAAAACCAAGAAATAATCTTAAACTAAAAAATATAATACTTTAATTTTAGGGTTCAAAATTGAAAATCGGACAACTTTTATGCAATTTTTTATAAAATTTGAATTTTCTGTTGATTTAATTCAGAAAAAAATTACTTGATTTTACTTAAGTAATGAAAATTTACTTAAGTACTTGATTTGTTTAAACAATTACTCAAGTATTTAAGTTACTTGAAACAGCCCTACTCATGACGCCCTACTCATGACGCCTTAAATTTTCCTTGGGTTGGCAATTCTTAGATTAAATTATAAATAAATGTGTGTATTAAATATTTTTCAACAAAAAAAAAATTAATTTAAATTGAAACTTTTCCGAGATTAGTAGGATTAGATTTAGTTTAACATTTAAAACTTATATCTTTTTTGTCGCACCGGCTACAAAAAAGATAAAAGTTTTTTTTTATTTTTTAAATCAATCTTCTAGTTCTTTGTTTCATTATTAAATTAGGAAAATCGTTCTTTTTTTACGGAAATTAAAAGGCATTATTTAAAAAAAGTTTACCAAGAACCTTTTGTGTATGTGTTATTTAATTACTGTATTCACTTGAAAATAAATACACAACTAAACTTGTGTATTTATTTTATTGACTTACCCAGCAACTAATCATTTAATGGCAATCTATTCAAATCGAAGACTCATTCTTGAAACCTTTAACTATGGCTGTACCCAGAGGCGTATTTAGCATTTTTTGGTTTTTGAGATTGCTAACTTCCAAACATGTAGCGAACTCCAAACATTTATTTGTTTATACTTATGTCAAATAAGGATGCATTGCAAAAATTGCGATGATTGTAGCTTGGGAACAAAAAAGTCCTAAAATTATGGGCCTTTCCCCTCGGCCCCAAACGGGAGAGCAACAAGTTGATGAAATATTTTTTGTACTATCTTCAACTAGACTTATATTCATCGATAAATTTTAAATTTCATAGTAAAATATTTTACCAAAAAATGCTAAATACGCCCCTAGCTGTACCAATATGTAATAATTTTTTAATTATATCTATAATTAATCAAACGAAATTTTTTTTTTAACTTTTTTTTTTGTTGTTATTTTAATTTAAAAAAAGTTCATACAGATTCACAATTGAGTTATGCTTTTTATAATCTAATAAAAAGAAAGTTGAAATATTTGAAATATTATTATAAAAATATTTCCTAATTTAATAATGAAAGCAAAACTTGAATATTGAATAAATAGATTGAGTCGAAAAACAAATAAAAAAAGTTGTTACCTCATATTTGGTTTTTAATTCTTAAATAAACTCTATATAAATGTTATAAAATATACTTATATAAAATATTAGTAGATATATATGTGTCATAAAACTCAATATTTTAAAGTATTTTTTTAAATACACTGACACCGGCAAACGTGTACAGGCAAATAATTCTTTTTTTTTAATCGAATCATATGAGTTAATAGGTCTAGAGCCAAATGGTATATATGTTAAATAAAAATGGTATATATGTTAAATAAAAATGGTATATATGTTAAATAAAAATGGTATATATGTTAAATAAAAATGGTATATATGTTAAATAAAAATGGTATATATGTTAAATAAAAATGGTATATATGTTAAATAAAAATGGTATATATGTTAAATAAAAATGGTATATATGTTAAATAAAAATGGTATATATGTTAAATAAAAATGGTATATATGTTAAATAAAAATGGTATATATGTTAAATAAAAATGGTATATATGTTAAATAAAAATGGTATATATGTTAAATAAAAATGGTATATATGTTAAATAAAAATGGTATATATGTTAAATAAAAATGGTATATATGTTAAATAAAAATGGTATATATGTTAAATAAAAATGGTATATATGTTAAATAAAAATGGTATATATGTTAAATAAAAATGGTATATATGTTAAATAAAAATGGTATATATGTTAAATAAAAATGGTATATATGTTAAATAAAAATGGTATATATGTTAAATAAAAATGGTATATATGTTAAATAAAAATGGTATATATGTTAAATAAAAATGGTATATATGTTAAATAAAAATGGTATATATGTTAAATAAAAATGGTATATATGTTAAATAAAAATGGTATATATGTTAAATAAAAATGGTATATATGTTAAATAAAAATGGTATATATGTTAAATAAAAATGGTATATATGTTAAATAAAAATGGTATATATGTTAAATAAAAATGGTATATATGTTAAATAAAAATGGTATATATGTTAAATAAAAATGGTATATATGTTAAATAAAAATGGTATATATGTTAAATAAAAATGGTATATATGTTAAATAAAAATGGTATATATGTTAAATAAAAATGATATATATGTTAAATAAAAATGGTATATATGTTAAATAAAAATGGTATATATGTTAAATAAAAATGGTATATATGTTAAATAAAAATGGTATATATGTTAAATAAAAATGGTATATATGTTAAATAAAAATGGTATATATGTTAAATAAAAATGGTATATATGTTAAATAAAAATGGTATATATGTTAAATAAAAATGGTATATATGTTAAATAAAAATGGTATATATGTTAAATAAAAATGGTATATATGTTAAATAAAAATGGTATATATGTTAAATAAAAATGGTATATATGTTAAATAAAAATGGTATATATGTTAAATAAAAATGGTATATATGTTAAATAAAAATGGTATATATGTTAAATAAAAATGGTATATATGTTAAATAAAAATGGTATATATGTTAAATAAAAATGGTATATATGTTAAATAAAAATGGTATATATGTTAAATAAAAATGGTATATATGTTAAATAAAAATGATATATATGTTAAATAAAAATGGTATATATGTTAAATAAAAATGGTATATATGTTAAATAAAAATGGTATATATGTTAAATAAAAATGGTATATATGTTAAATAAAAATGGTATATATGTTAAATAAAAATGGTATATATGTTAAATAAAAATGGTATATATGTTAAATAAAAATGGTATATATGTTAAATAAAAATGGTATATATGTTAAATAAAAATGGTATATATGTTAAATAAAAATGGTATATATGTTAAATAAAAATGGTATATATGTTAAATAAAAATGGTATATATGTTAAATAAAAATGGTATATATGTTAAATAAAAATGGTATATATGTTAAATAAAAATGGTATATATGTTAAATAAAAATGGTATATATGTTAAATAAAAATGGTATATATGTTAAATAAAAATGGTATATATGTTAAAAAAAAATGGTATATATGTTAAATAAAAATGGTATATATGTTAAAAAAAAATGGTATATATGTTAAATAAAAATGGTATATGTTAAATAAAAATGGTATATATGTTAAATAAAAATGGTATATATGTTAAATAAAAATGGTATATATGTTAAATAAAAATGGTATATATGTTAAATTGAATAATAATTCTCTTAAACCACCTTTCTTTTTGATTTTACTGTTTTTGTAATAAAGTGATTAAAAAAACTGCTAGCTTTTTAGGGTGGAATATAGATAAAAATTTATCATTTAAGATTAACATATGAAACAAATCAAACTTTAAATACACTAAACAAAAGCATTTCTAAATATAAAATGTTTTAATAAGTTAACCTTTTTATGTGTTTACAGCTATTTATTCTAAATTATTTATTTTTTATTACTGTTAAGTTGGTTGAAAATGTACTATTTACACTAGTTTGTTTACGATAAAAATCTATAGTAAACACACTAGTGTTTGCAGAATTTCATGTGGTGCTTACAAAATGGTGCATAGATGAAACTTTTTTTAAATTTACTTGAGGCTTATGCTGATTATTAAAAAAATGTAGATTGCGTCAACATTTTTCTAAAGTATTCTTTGGACCATTTAATAAGCAAGTTGTTTTAAATTGATTTTGAACGATACTTCACACGAGCTAAATAGGTTCGTTTGAAGTATTGTTCAAATAGGTTTAATTTATTTACAAATACATTAATTTAATACTTTCAATTTTATTATTTAAACAAATATATTTATTATTTATATAAAATTTAGATAATAAATTGTAAATATTAAACTAACACATATGTTAAATTACATGGGAAGATTTTTATTTTATGAAAATATCAACTTGATTTAATAGTTAAAAGTTATGCTGATGATAGCTTATGGTTTATTCTGATATATTTGAACCTTGATATATTTAATATACTTTCTGATATAACTGGTGTACATTAAGTTATTTTCACTTTATAAGTTTGTTTAAAATTATAAAAAATATATATTGGTTTATTCAATATTACTAGGATATTAAATTCAAATTATAAAAATATACATATAATTTTTAGCAAGCCCTAATTACAAAGCGTAAATATATCACATGAGTGTAAGGCCGGCGCGATGGTTGTGTGTGTGTGTGTTGAGGGGGTGTGGGGCGTCTGCAAATTTAGACAGTCAGTCGGCAAATGTTGACTAAGCAGTCGGCAAATTTCGAGGACCTCTTTTTTTGTTTTTTTGTTTCATTTCAGTCGGCAAAAATTGCAATGTTACCCCCCATCATATGTGACACCTACTTACGTCGCCACTGCTGGGTGTCAATTAAACCACTTAATCATTCATATAGACGATTAAACACCTAGTTATTAATTCTTACCAACCAATACCAAAATGTATTCAAAATTATTTATCGTAGTTTTCTAAAATAATAAAGTTTAGCTATTAAATTTTATTTAAAAAAAATATCAGAAAATATAAAACTTTAAAAATATATAGTTTTTGTGTAAGTTTCTTAAAACATTTCTCCCACTATTTATAAACCAGCTTGCATTTTATATTTATAATGAAATTTACATAATCTGGTTTCTCTCTATTGTTAAATTAAATGAATTGTCTTTAATTGAACTTGGTTTGTTAAAAATTGATTCTATGCTTTCATTAGAATTTGAGAAAATTGAATTTTTTGATATACTTTTAGATGATGTAAACGATTTCGTAAAAAAAGATTGTCGACAATGTCGTGGTTCAATGGAAGGTGTATATGCATTTCGACGGCCGTTTATTCGAGGTACTATCAAGTTGAGCATTAGCGATGCTGTTTCTTTAAGTTTGGTGTCAACCACTTCTAAAAAAAGCAAATCATTATAGGCTATTTCAAGAAAGTAAAAGTGTTATCCAATTAAGAATTTTTGCTAGACCAAGTTTGGTTTGTAAATTTTTATCAAATCTATCACTCGTATATCAATACCATTATCTTTTTTTTATTTATATCTTTTTATAATTTTAGCGTAAAGAACCACAATTATAGGTTGCTGTTTTTTTTACTTATACAATGCAATACAATGCACAATAAGAATGCACAGAATACGCAACATAAAAAACTATAATTAACCATTTTTAAGTAATAGTATATTTTGTGTATAGTATATATTGTCACTAGTCAATTCATATTATATATATATATATATATATATATATATATATATATATATATATATATATATATATATATATATATATTATATTTATGTTGTATATATATATATATATATATATATATATATATATATTTATGTTGTATATATATATATATATATATATATATATATATATATATATATACAACATAAATATAATGTATATATATATATATATATATATACATTATATTTATGTTGTATATATATATATATATATATATATATATATATATATATATATATATATATATATATATATATTATATTTATGTTGTATATATATATATATATATATATATATATATATATATACATATATATATATATATATATATATATATATATATATATATATATATATATATATGTTTTATATAAAATATATATTAACTATAGTCAATATAAATTATGCAATTAAAAATAAAGTGATTGGGATAGGCAGTGAATAAACGCATAATACTTAAAGTTACATTTTTATGGTGCGTAATCTGTGCATTACATAGTTATAATATTGTTTTTTTACATTTTGTTATAATATTAATATTGTTATAACAATATTTACTAACACAAACCAATATTATAAACATTTAATCGACATTTAATAAACGTATTCATTTAAAGGTTTGTAATGTATGTATTGACTAATAATAGTCATGGCTGTTATTAGTCAATATTGAAAACGTTTAACTGACGTTTAATAAACTTAACTTTAAAAGGCTTGTTATGCACGTACATTACAAACCTTTTAATGCAGTAGCACTACTGCAAACCTTTATTCAATAATTATTAAAAGTTGTTTTATAAATTTAAAAAAACACATTTTTTGTAAAAAATTTTTGCACCACAAGTAATCTTGTGGTACTGTTTACTGAAAGTCACTAAAAACCAGAATTGGCATAAAAAACCGCCCTGCAAAAGCCAATAAAACTCGCCTAAAAAACCCAATAAAACCCGGGAAAATTTGGGTTGTATTGGGTTTTTTTAAAGATATTTAATAAGTTTATGACCTATTATAACCAACTTATATATTATAACTATAATATTATAACTAAAATAGTTATTAACAATTATTATTATTAACTAAATTTTTATTAACTTTTATTATAACCAACAATATTATAACCAACAATAACAGCTATCAGAGCAGGTTTATTAATATTTGAATCATTACTTTGAAATACATTATTAAAATTTTTATTCAAATACTTTTATCGATTGAGATTTTTTAATCTTTTATGTTATCTACAGTCGAGAGTAAAAAACCACAAAAAGGTTGTAACCACTACCTTTTTGTGGTTACAAACTTTTCTCAACTCTTTATTTCCTAAACACAAATCTTTATAAACTAGGCCGCTGCGCGAAGAAATAAGTTTGTTCATTTGAATTTCAAGTTCAAAGTTTAATTGAAACTTCAGTTACTACCCCCCCATTTTCTAGCGTTCTTTTTTCTATTTCTCGTTGACATTTTTAATTTTATAGAATAATACTTTTAAATTTAAAATAAATCAATACATATAGGTTTAACGTGTAATTTTTTATTTTTCTATTACAGTTTCAAATTATATATAAAAATCTTTCTCCAAATAATTTGAAAAATTCTTGTTATAAACTATTAAACAATAATATATAAAATATATTTTAAATAAAGTCAAAGTAGAAAATAAAACTAATTTTCAATATCATTACACAAAAAAACAAAAATATTTTTACAGAGACCAAATAAAAATAAAACCCAAAAAAAAACAAATTTACACAATAAAACCCAAAAGTACCCAAAAAAAACCCACTGGGCCGGGTTTTTTTAAAAAAAATCAGGTTTTTTCTAACCTTGCTAAAAACACATTATTTATAGATTATATAGTTAGTTACCTCTCTTAACATACAACATATACATAGAATAATAATAATTCCACATTTTAAAGTTTGATGCAATAATATTATACTAACTGCACATTAACATCTAGTGCGATGTCTGTCCGCTTTCTCTATGCTATCTTTCTAAGTTGACTTTTTTTTTAAATACTAGAAATTTAAATTCTTCCTTAAACTCACGGCCCATAAAAATAGGTTATGATGCTCTTAAGTGAGCTTAACTTTTTATTGCAAACCCTATTTTTATTGTGGCCTCTATATGGCAACTAGCCGGACGAGGACAAACAACAATACTTTTAACATTCAATCCAATACATACGTTTAACCATATAAAGTTTACGTTAATATTAATAACTTAAAGTTATAAAATTTATAGTTATAAAATATAATAATTTTTTAAAACTATAGTTTTTATACTTAATTACAAATATAATGTTTTAATATTAAAGAAAATATAGTAATATAAAATTTACGAAATTGAAACAGATATAAGTGGCATAGTAATTCAATTAAACATAGCCCAGTAAACACGAGATGTGTTAAAGACGTCTAAAAACATATTAATACTATTTTAACCGTGTTAAATAATATTTGAATTTATACTAAGGTGTAAAACACAAATTTAGTGAAAACTTTTTTAAGAACAAGTTTACTATAATAAAGTTTGTGCTTCGAAAGTTATAATTTTTGGATTCAAAAAGTATCAAGAAAATTAAAATTTATTAATGAATTAAAAAAAGAACAATAAAGAATTTCATAAATATGTCAAAGTTTGAAAAGTTTGATCGAGTTGCAGTTAAAGAAACATTTTTAGTAATAAAATGTTCATAAAGTTGTTCAACACCTTAATTTCTTAATAAGTCAATCGAGACATTTTTTTTGTTAACAATGACTGAGTATATAGTTTTGTGTTGGCCATATACAGCTCCTTTGAAAATAAAATGTGTGTGCAACTAATGGACACTGATAATATTCAACACTAACCAGGATGCACATTAAAGACAGAACTAAAATTTTATGTATTTCGTAGTGCTTAGCATGACCATATACCACACTTGAAATGAAATAATGTATTTTTTGATAAATAAAATTAATGACTAACGCTATTAATTTTTTTTTTTTTTTTGTCCCTGTGCATGTGGGGTGAATAAAGACAGTAATTGTTTTTAATGTTTATCTCTATTACTTCTGATAGGGCTGTAATAAGAACACTCTTAGTATTTTAAAAAAATCTGCGTAACTTGTGTTTACACTAATAATATTCAATACTAACCAGAATGCACAATTTGGACAGAACTGGACAAAACCTTTATTCACTATAGAAAAACATTACTGACAATTAATGACAATTAGAATGACAACTTTTATAGTTAACTTGTGTTCATTAAGTGCCATTAGGCCTCATTTATGTTATACATAGTCAGACGATACTAAAGATCTGTATTTTTGATGCTCAGAACTTCACCTTTTAATAACTGTTATTAGAAATTTTAAATAAAAATCTGAATGGTAATCATCAATTAAATTGTAAAAGTACAAAAATGAGCACCGTGTGTTTAATTTATCATTATTTAAAATGAAACTAAAAAAAAAATTAAGTGCAGTATATTCTTAATTTATTCTAAAAATAGTTAGTAAGGATACCTCTGCCTTTGGTATTAACAATGTTTATCAGGTTCTTCACCATATAAATCCTGTTCTGTTACACAGACAAAGATTACGAAGTTACACAGTTTACAAAAATTTGATGTTCCGCTCAAAAGAGATTTGAATAAATTATTTCAATAAAAGTTTAAGCTACACCAATAGCAAAACAGTTTTTTGCCGCAATACAGTGTAAGACAACATCGCACTGATGTGCGTCACAGTAGGACAAAAAAATATATTTTTTTTTTATGTAGCGGACTTTTCAGTTACTTCTATTTCTCCCAAACTTTAGGAGATACTCAGAATTGTATTTTCTATAGGTTATTATTTCCTTTGTATTGTGTAGGATTGAAAAGTACTTTAGGAGCAATCAAAAAAGGAGTGCTACGTCTTTCAATCAAAAGAGGAGTACTACGTCTTTTTTGAGAATCCATTTAGGAAAACTTGCACACACACTTTAAGCTAAAATTTTGTATTTACCTTTAGAATTTCTGGAGTAACAGCTGTTTCGGATTTGCCAATCATTATGTAATAATTTACAAAAAAAATAGTGGAAAAAACTCTATTTTTTATAAAAATGTAGTGAAAAGAAATTATAAAAGCAAAATCTACCGCGGGGATATAATTAAACTAATATAAATCTATTAGTTTTATAAACAATATGCAATGTACTTTGATATGTCGTCAGTTTTAAGCTAATCAGCTTAAAAAGCTTAAGTTACAGTTGGTTTAAGAGTTTTCGAAAGGTTAAAAGTGTGTCACTATAAGGTGTATACCATTTTTTTTTTTAGTTATTAAGGTGCTCAACGAAGACCTAACGTATTTATCATAGAGCACCGTAGAAGAGCATTTGGCCTGAATGTTCTATCTTTACATGGAAGTTATATATAAGAGTTAGAATGAAGTACGAGCAATTGAAAACAATTAAACACCAAAAATTATTAATCTTCCTGAACCATCAGCTCATTCTAGCACTGTCATCAGAACTATCAAAATATATTAACAATTATAGATGTAGATGATGATGATGATGATGATGATGATCATAATGATCATGACGATCATGATGAGGATAATAATGATGATTGCGAGGATGATGAGAGTAAAGTTAATATTCTTGTCTTATAACTGCTGAGATTAATAATACTTAGCAGCTTCTTGAACCTACTTGGTATTGCAGTAATGAGTAGAAAAGAAATTAAATAAAGTTTTTACAGTTAGCTCATGGCAAACAAGGTATTAATTATTCCGACAATATTAGTTTCAAATGAATGCTTATTCTCTATATCTGCTTTTTAGTATTCTAAATGATCAAACAAGATTATTACCAGAATAACACTGACGATTTCTTTCATAATGCATGAAAAACATGAAGTTTTCTTACATGAGGGATAGAAAACATTTAATGAATTATTAAAACTATTTAATAATAATTGATGTATATAATTTAATATATAATTTACTATTCATTACTAATACTATTCATTAAATTCGTGTTCATTAAAAATGTGTACAAAATATGGCGCTGTATGTATTATAGCGTATGACTTTATTTGAATCATTTATATAATTAATTATATAAATATATACATTTATATAATTAGTTATATATATATATATATATATATATATATATATATATATATATATATATATATATATATATATATATATATATATATATATATATATAAATTTTAAAAATCAGAAAATAATTTTTTATATTGCACAATCACGAATCTTTGTTATAGGCTGATTAAGCTGATCAACTTCAAGCTGAAGCTAATTGAAGCAATTAGCCGCAATCTCTACATAATAATAGATTAATTACAAAATTAAACATATAAGCAGAAAAATATTTTTAATTGCAAAAAAACTTCGGTTCTTTTATAAAGCAATATTTTTAAATTTATATTTGTATTATAAAAACCATGAAAAAGATAAACAAAGAGTTTTATGTAAATTACTATTAACTATTGTTCTTATTTATTTTCTTTAATTTTCTTTTATACTATTTTTATATATTTTTTTAACTTTAATTGGTTTCGTGGTTTATCCTCCTCCGGCTAATTGCTTTATAGAGGTCACATACCAAGGCCTGCGAAGACGAGTTCAGCTTAAGAAGAGCAAAGAATATTAGAGTGACTGTCAGACCAAGTGGAGTTAGAAAGATAGCATTAGATAGCGGATAGATATTGTACTAGTTGTCAGAATGTGCAATTATACATTAATTGATAACAACTAATTAGTGTATGTAATTTTATAATTATAACTGTCTTTTCATTGAATTTATTTTTTTAATTGTAGTTTTTTAATTGTAATTGTTTTATTATTATTTTTATTTGTAGTTGTTACTTTTATTTGCAGTTATTTTTTTATACTTACATTTATACATCATACATTTAAGAATGCGGCTCAACATAATTTATTTGCTTTTATTAAAAGATATATTTGCGCGTATTTTGGTATAACTCTTTATTTGAAATAATTAAATGCATTGGTGTCATATTGATATTATTTTCATATTGTGGCATTTTTTTCATTATGGGACATAATATGATGGGAATTAGAGTTTACGGTTTTTACCCGAGAGTTTTGCATTACCTCAAACGTGTTTACTTTGTATACTTTATGACATGAAATGTACAAGGCATTGTGTATGTTGAGCACAAAACCTTGCAATTTTTTTTTTAAACATTTATTTAATTTTTAAGAAAACAACATTATTAAGAGCCAATGACTATTTTGATTGAGACAAGTAAGTTTGGCAGTAAAGATACACATTTTGACTAGTTAAGTCTGGTTGGCAACAGTTACAGAAACGTTGCAAAAATATTGGTTTAGTATTCCAGGAAAAAAAGTTTTATAGAACTTTTTATAAACTTTTGAAACATTTGGCCTATAGAAATTCTATAGAATTTCTATAAAATGTCTACTAATTTCTAGAGAAATTGCTTAAAACAGAAGCAAAGTAGCCTCATATGAAATGCATTTTCATTTTAAATTTGTATTTGCATCATCAGTAGTAATAAATATATGAAAACTCATATTTTAGAGTTTTTAATATTTTTGTAACCCAATTAATCCCAAAATTTGGTAAGTAGTTGAGTTTTTGCTTCAATGTCTTCAGTTGCTCATATAAAAAAAATCGTATCGAACAAGAAACTTTAAGTAATGCAACTTAGGTAAGAAAATTACATGACAAGTTGTAGCCATTATTTATACAGTTGCTCTGCCATTCCATGTTGTTGTGGTGGCGGTCTTTATTTTTTTCATCAAAAACATTTTAATTTTATTTATTAAAATTTATAGTACTTTGCATTTAGAAACTGTATAATTTATAGTAATATCTTTACAGTTTCTAAAAGCAAAATGAAAATTAATTTGAAAGATTTTTTAAAGACTTGAAAAGTTTTTTTTTTTTAAAAAACTATTCTGAGTCTGACTCGAATTAGATTTTTCGTTCGTAGGCATTTTAAAATAATATTTATACATATATTGTATGCTTTAAAAACATCAAAATTGATTCATAGTCTTTTTTTTTATAAATAAACTTTATAAAAAGAGACCGATATATTAAAAAGATATTGATGAAGTTAATGAGACATGGTAACGTCATGTTAAAACCACGTCATGTTGAAACAACGTCATGTTGTAACCACGCCATCCCAGTGGGCACGGTACGTTTTTGGACGTTTTTGTTAGGTTTAAATGTAATAAAAACGTCTAAAAACGTACAATTTCCGCTAGGATGTCGTAATGTTTGTACAAAAATGAAATCTAGATAAAATTTTTCAAACATTAAAAAGACGCATCGAGTTGTCTTTCCCATTTTTAGGGTAGTTCACTAGTTCTGTTAGATTGTTTAACTTTTTTCTAAATTTCGCCTGGCAATTGTTTTATAAGTAGTTGTTTTGAATTATACAATGTGACAAATAACTTGTAAATTTGATTTTTAAAACTTACTTAACAGTAATAAACAACTTATTACTGATAAAAAACCGACTTTAAATGGATATATACTTCTTAACTTTTTTACTCATTAGTAAAAAAGTTAAGAAGTATATAATGATATTATATACTTATTACAACTATATTAAATGAGTGAAAAGTAACCTTTTCACTCATTAATATAGTTGGCAAAGCATTCATGGAAACTTTAGCATCAATGTCAATTTAGCATTTTGTATTAGAAAGTCTTACCTTAGTATCAATATCTTGAGTATCAATATTAAATATGAATATTGATAATATTTTTATGCTGTAGACATAAATCAACATTTCTAGATATGCTTGACGACTAAAAACGTGTCTTAAAATAATGCTTGATCAAACCACACGCTTCAGAGTTAATTTAGCGTTCTTGTATTAATTAAATAATGTTTTTTTTTTAAAGTAACTAATGTGCTTAAAACATATTCATTGCCGATTGTCTTTTTTGCATTATTTTTATTTGCTTATTATTTATCGTGTCTTTTTTTTTTTTTTAAAACGCCTATCGGAGTATAAAATAATCGATAAAAAAAAGCTTTGTCTACTAATAAATTTCATAAGATTGAGTTTATTTTCAGGTTCATATTTATGAAATTGGCTTACTAAGTCAATACAGAAAGTGTTCTTATGTTAATGTTAACATATTCTTTTGGCGCACCTAAGGCAGTTCACACGAATGCAGCTTTGCATTTAGCTATGCTTTTGCAACTGCTTCACAGTAATGCAGATTCGCACTAAATCAAATTTACATTTAAGTAAGCGTTTGAAATTCATTTGTCACGCTTATGTTGATTTGCACTTGGTAATGCTTTTTCAAAGCTTTGTACATACGCAGATGCGCACTCACAAAAACATTAGAATTTTTGTAGCATCATTGGTTCGTGTGTCGGAAACATATTTTTAAATTTAATTGAATTTAAAAATATGCTTCCGACAGAGAACAAGTGATTGCAATAACTTCAAGCATCGCTTTAGCCACTATTGTTAAAAATGTTAAGAAAAAATAGCTGCATGTAACAAAGTAGTAAAATATAAAATCGTAAAATTATATAAAGCCAATAGAAAAAACTTGAAATAAAAACAAAAAAAAATCATTGATATCAGATGTAGATTGCTTAACTGAGATCATAAGAAGTGTTAAGGAAAAACAGGTGGTGATATAAAAAGCGATCCATTTTCAAACAGCAAGAGTGACAAAAAAGGCGTTTTGGAATTGAGACAGAAAATACGTTCAAAAGATTAAATAATAAAGATTAGGGTAGTTTTAAAAGATAAATTCTAAAGAAAAATTAGAATAATCTGCATTAAAAAGAAATAGTTTTGATAAAACAACAAACACAAAAGATTTAAAGGTGGAGTACTTTACTTTACGCCAGTGTTGGATAAGACAAACTAGCAATTATGTTTGTTTTTTATACTCATGTATTTGATATTTTCATTTTTATTTTTAATCTTAGTACTGCGTTTCATGTTGTAACAAAAACGTGCAACGAAAAAGCATTGAAAACTGCAAGATATTTTGATTAATTTTTTTTTTTTTTTATCATCAAAAATAATTTACGTTAATATTTTTCTCTTTAATAATAGTTAGAGAGTTCTTTATCATTGTTATTTATTATTCTTAGATATATAAATGTTCTAAATACCTTTTAAAAAATGATACTATATTTACTATAGTTTTAAATAATAAAAAAAAGTTCCTACTACCGTAAAGTTTACTACCGTAAACCGTACTTACAGAAACAAAAAATAATGACAAAACAGTACTTACTATGAGTGCTGTCATAAACAAGATTTTTATCGGCCGAAATTAGAGTAGGATTTTTTTTTTTTGGTAACTTTATTCTTGCTTGAGCATATGAATAAAACAAGGCGAAATTTCTTCCAACAACAGAGACAGGCAAGGCAACAATTAATATACCACAACAGGCACACATTGCACCGACAATTTTTCCTGGTCCAGAACGAGGTACCTACATTAAAAAATTTTTATATTACAAAAAAGTAATGTAATAAACTTTTGTTAGAAAATTCGTTTATAAAATTAAACGCATTTACCATATCACCGTACCCTACTGTCGTCATGGAGACAATGGCCCACCAAAAAGCTTCAGGAATGCTTTCGAAGTCACTTGGCAAATTGTCCTACAAATAAACAACTATTACTCATTAAGTCAACTACTTGTAACTCAATTTTAATTATCCTTATAACTGAATTTATATGACGTATTACATGATCAATTATCGCATAGATGTAATGAGTATCTAACCTGTATGATAAATTGTATACATACCTTAATCAATCATGATCAATCTTACCCTTTCAGCGTAATATACCAATGTTGAAAACACAACCATTGGTATCATAAAAATTAACGCTAACAGCATTAGTTCTTTAAAACTTGCTTTCAAAGTTTGCCCAATAACTTGCATTCCACTTAAGTTTTTAAAAAATCGAAATAAACGAAGAAGCCGAACGAGTCGTACAACAACCAAAGAGTCTACAGCATTACTTTTTAATACATAGGATAGATAAAACTGTAATGTTGATAAAAAATCAAAATAAGTTATAGGCTCTTTAAAAAACAATTTTAACGAAGGGCAGCTAACCAAGCGTAATAAAAATTCTAGTGTAAATATTGCACAATATACGTTTTCCAATTTAGAAAAAATTGAATTATACTTTTTAAAATGTTTCATTGTTTGTAGGCAAAATGTTGTCACTGAAACAATAATAATCACTAGTGATAGGAGAGCTGTAGCCTAAAATAGATGTATTATATATAAATATATATGATATATATAAAATATATGTAAATAGAGTATATACATGTATATATATATATATATATATATATATATATATATATATATATATATATATATATATATATATATATATATATATATATATATATATATATATATATATATATATATATATATATATATATATATATATATATATATATATATATATATATATATGTCTATATATATATATACATATATATCCCAGTAAGCACAAAAAGCATTTTAGACACTTATAGACGTCTAAAACTAGTCTAGGTAAAGACGCACTTTTATAGACGTTTTGAAGACATTTTCTAGACGTCTTTAATAAATGCGCTTTTAAAATGACGTTTAAAATGCGTCTTTTTAAAGTTTAAAAAGACGTTTAAAAGACGCATAATAAATAGTCTAAAAGACGCATTAAAAGACGTCTAGATCAAGGCTAAAAGACGTCTTTTCTGTGACCTGTTTATAAATATGTCATTATGACTTCTTTTTGACGGCTTTGTCATTACGCGTTAAGAAGATGTCGTATATTCAAAGTAAAAACATAGTTTTTATTATTTTCAATAATTTGTTCAAGTTTTAAGTGTAAATTACTTTAAATTAAATTACTTTTTTACACAATTGCTAAAACTGTTGTCACAGGAATCACTAAAATAATTGCTATAATATTAATATATCTTTTTTTTATTAATAATTATTTTGCTTTTTTAATAGATAGTTGACTGATCATGATAATAAGTGAAAATGGCAAGAATAATATATAAGTTAAATATCAGTATTTTTAGTTTTTATACACCCACAAGCCATATAATAAGTCAAGTATGCGGTCAAAAATTAGCTATCAACATATATGTAACACTTTATCATAACTGAAAATATGTTATAAATGTTTTAAACACTGTTTTGATATAAATAGGGTAAACTGGGGTAAAGTGAAAAACTTTTTGTTAAGTAATTTAGCATTATTTTTGCTTAATACAACATTTTGAAATTTTTTAAATAAAAAAATTAATAAAATATAGCCTTTGTTTTGATGTAATAGCCATTTTAAAAAGCGAGTTTGGCGGAAGTTTTAAAATTACGATCTCAAACTTTGCTATGGGTTTTAGTAAATTCATGATTTGTTGTTATTAATGCGAACATCAGTTATATAATTTATATACATTTTAAAGATAATATAATGCTGTTAAAAAAAAATTGTAGTTTTTATCATAATATAAAAAAGCTAAGCTTTTAGTTTGTAAATCAATTTAGTTCACTTTACCCCTTATTTTTCTGCCTATTGGGGGTAAAGTGAACTAGTCTTTTTCTTATGTTTTTTCATCAAATATTTTTAGTAGAACTGAATATATAAATTGTAATTACTTAACTAAATTGTTTACTCTTAAAATAAGTTGTTTTTTTTTTAAATATTCTTAAAATTATTTTCAGAAATATAATATATTGAAATAATGCCAAGAAACTACATTAAGAAAAAAGAATCTCGAAGAAAAACATATGCACCTAATTTGTTGCAAAATGCCATTTCGAAAGTTAAAAATAAAGAAATGACTTCGTATGCTGCATCAAAAGAATATGGTGTTCCAAGAAGTACAATTGCAAGACATCTTCTAGGCATAAAATGCTCAAAAGTTGGTAAAGGGCGACCAAACCGATTATCTGCTGATGCTGAAAAAGATCTTGTTTCACTTTTATCTGCATTTTCTGATTTTGGATTTGGATTAGATAAAAAACAATTTATGAAACTTGTTCAAACGTATATTGAATTAAACGGATTTCAGAAAAAATTTGTTAATGGTGTTGCTGGTGATCAGTGGTTTTGTAATTTTTTAAATCGTTGGCAGAAAGAAATATCTATAAGAACTCCAGAGCTTTTGACATTAACAAGAGCCTTAGCTTGTAATAAAACTGTAATTGATGCTTGGTTTTTATTACTTAAAGCAACATTGGAAAAATGTGACATTATGAATAGATCTGCCTTCTGAAATCTATGAACACCCTTTTTCTCAGAAAACAAATAACTATAATAATAACGTCCCTCAAAACATCGTTTTAGACACCAATGTCAATGATCAGAACGATACTTGTGAAAATTTTTCTATTGAATCAACAAATAAATACAATTCACAAAAAACTATAATATCAGTAGGAAAAGACTTAAACAATGAAAAAATAAATCAACTATCAATATCAAATGTAGATTGTTCTACTGGAAATAAAATCATTAGAGAAATAGTGAAAGAACAGTTAATGGCCACAAAGGGTGATGGTCGTTCATACAACAAACGACCTACAAAAAAAATAAAAAGACACTATGGAGGTGAGTGTCTTACATCAGAAGATGCATTTAAAAGATTAAATGATGAAGAAAACGAATGCTTTAAAAGAAAGATCAAGCAGCAAGGCAAAATACAAAATAAAAAAACTAATTTATTAGAAATAACAAACACAAAAGAGTTAAAGATGAAGTAGTTCACTTTACCCCAATGTGGGGGTAAAGTGAACTAGTGGACATGTTTTTTTTGAATATATATTTAATATTGTAAAAGTAGCTTTTAATCTTAGTATTTTGTTTTATATTGTACCTAATACTTTAAATGGTATAAATTTTGAAAACCGCAAAATGTTTTGGCTTTTATTTTGAAAATATTTCCTTTAAATATCAAAAACAGTTCACTTTACCCCAGTTTACCCTACTTGTTATTGTTTTTTATTATTTTCATCTTTGATGCATCAACCGTTGGTGGTGATTACAGCAATATTATTTTGACTGCTGGTTCATATGTATATTTGGTATAAACGAAATTAAAACAATATATGATGTTAATATTACAATGAATATATACCACATACTACGCAAAAGTGTTACGTCATGTACTTAAATTTAACTTGAAAAAAACATCTAAAATACGTCTAAAACGCGTTTTTATAAAGACGTCTTCATTTAGACGTCTTTTAGCCTTATGATCTAGACGTCTACAAGTGCGCCTTTTAGACCTCCTTAAAGACATCTTTAAAACGTCTTTTAAACGTCTTTGTGCTTACTGGGATATATATATATATATATATATATATATATATATATATATATATATATATATATATATATATATATATATATATATATTTATATATTTATATATATATATATATATATATATATATATATATATATATATATATATATATATATATATATATTATCCGATAATATATATATATTATCCGATAATATATATATATTATCCGATAATATATATATATTATCCGAGGAGTGCTGCTACATCGATTTAGGGTTTTGATTTGAACATAGATTGTTTAAAAAAGAAAATAAATGTGACTACGAAATTTTTTTTTTGATAACATGTTTTAACATTGTATCTTTCCGATTATTAATAAACCTACGCGAATGACGCTAAATTCAGTTTCCGCTATAGATAACATCCTGACACACGCATTTCAATCACGATGCTAAATTAATGGTTCGGGAATGTTTACTCATGTTATACCCTTGTTGATTTGATGGCAACTTTAAAAGAAAAGGTGGGAGGCTCTCGAACCAGTAATTTTAACACATTTAGTTGATAGTATGCCTCAAAGATGTGCGCCACTTATTAAGAGTAAAGGATGTATAACTAAGTATTAATTTACCGTTTTAGAAACTTGTATATTTTATTTGTAACAAAAACATGTAAATAGACTCTGTTTTTATGTTATTGTTTTTGTTGTTGTAGATGTTATTATTTTTTTTTTTTGAATGTAGATATCATGTATGAGAGTATGTAAATTATTATTTTATAAACATCAATAAATACGATTTTCTCTCGATACTAAATTTATTTTTTTTAAAGAAATTTTCGCTGGATTGTTGTGACCAGAATCTTCAGCTTAAAGGTTATTATGAAGCCGTGAAAATAATCACTGAAAAAGCACGAGAAAATATGTTTGTGAAATCAAAAGACAGATTAATTAAAAAATTCAAACTTTTTCAAGATCAACGTGTAAAGCGAACACCTCATTTGACAATCTATACTAAAGAAGCTGTTTTAAATTTATGCGACACAGAAATTCCAGAACATCAAAAAAGTCTCCTTAACCTTGGACCTAAATTTGTAATAACAATAAACTCTCTTCCGTATCTTGACATCGTCTCAATAACCGAGTCATCTGCTCTAAAACTTGAATACAACAAAAAAGATGAAGCTGTGCAAACGCTGAGTAGAGAGGTTTTGAGAGAATCAAAACTAAACGAAAATAATAAAAATGACAACCTGACTCGTGAACAACGGAAAGCACTTACACAATTAAATACGATAAAAATATTGATATGTACCCATTTGATAAAAGAATGGGCTTTGTTACAATCCCTCATGATAAAGCAATAAAAAAAATTTGAGAACAAATTGGGCCAACTAAAATTATCAATGAGGATCCACCGACCTTTTTTATTTAATTTCGATAGTTGGACTTTGATTTTCATTGCGTAACACAAAGTTACGCAATGAAAATCAAAGTCCAACTATCGAAATTAAATAAAAAAGGTCGGTTCACAAAAGATGAATATCAACAAATTTATCCCAGTGACCCAATACCACCTCGTATGGATGGTTTAGTGAAGGCACATATGCCTGAACAATCTTACCCAATGCGAATTGTAGTATCTACGATAGGGCACCTAACTACGGAATCTCAAATTATTCAGTAAAACTAATACAACCGATATTAAATGAAAACCGAACTCGATTTAAAAATTCGCAACAATTCGTAGAAAAAGCAAAAACGTTAGACATATCCAGTGACGAAAATCAGATATCATTGGACGTTATAAACTCATACCCGTCAGTTCCTCTTGAAGAAGCAACTGAAGTACTCATAAGTTTATTGGAGGTGAGTGATAATTTTAAAAAAGCGACAAAATTAGATATGAAAAAAATAAAAATTCTGATAGAACTATGTTTATACATACCATACCTTTTATGGAACAATGAAATACATGAACTTGAAAATTCTGGTCTGATAGGTCTTTCGTTTATGGTAGTTTTAGCTGAACCTTTCTTCGACATCTTGAAAATAGAGCACTTAACACAGCGCTTAAAATTAACCCACTAACCATGATCCACAAATTTTAAATGGAATATTTAAGGGTTTCGTACATAAAGCATTTAATGTATGCAGTCAAAAACATTTAGAAAATGAATTGAAATTCCTTATTCAAGTATTTGCCGAAAATGGCTACAAACAGTCCAATCTCATAAAAATCATAAAAGAAATAAAACGAAAGTACAAAAAATCTTTAGAGACTATTAAAAACATTGACAACATCACCAGTACGTATCCAACGATTTCATTACCTTGGGTACCAAAATTGTCTCCCAAATTGCGTAAGGTTTTTAGGAAGGCAGGATATAAAACGATCTTCAAATCAAACTTAAACCTAGAGGCAATATTAACATCAAGAAATAAATCCAAACTACAAACGAACAGTCAACCAGGAGTCTACCTTATTAAATGTCATTGTAGCATAAAGTATATGAAGTATATTAACAAAACTGCAAATAAGAACACGCATGCAACAACACAAAAACAGTACAATAGGAAATAAAACAGAACGATCTGCATTAGCCACACATATGAGACATTGTACACAACAAATTAACTGGTACAGTTGCAAAACTCTAAAAGTTGATGCTAAAAAGTTTGATAGAAAAATTCGTGAGGCACTTGAAATACAGTACCACCAATGTGCCCCTCAACAAAATGGTATCAATTTAGATGAGGGACAATATGTGTCAACAAAATTTTGAACAACATTTTTAGCGCACTTACGTCAGAAAAAGGAGAAACCATTCCATTGTCATAAAATAGAAATGCCGTTTATTAAAAAATAACATTTAAACAAAAACAAACAAAAATCCTTTAAGCTGAAAATGCTGGTCACAACAATCCAGCGAAAATTTCTTTTAAAAAAATAAATTTAGTATCGAGAGAAAATCGTATTTATTGATGTTTATAAAATAATAATAATAATAATAATATATATGTATATATATATATATATATATATATATATATATATATATATATATATATATATATATATATATATATATATATATATATATATATATATATATATATATATATATATATATATATATATATACATATTAGGGTGGGTCATAAAATTTTTTTTCTTGTTACAGGCTCTAAACATTGCTAATAGTTATTAATATTGATACTATCAAATATGAGAATGATTGTGATAGATTTAAAGGGCGCAACTTTATTGGGAAAATTACCGGTACCCTAATATTTTGGAGAAAAAAAGTTTTTCAAAAGTAGATCAACATGGTACTCAAAAAAAGCAAAATTTTATAAAAAATTCGAAAATAATAATCGTTTTATTAAAATCATATTGCCGAATAAAATTGTTATTAAAAAACATGTAAAAATGCATCTTTTTCACTTTTTGTTAAAAACCTATAGTTATTATGCAATAAAATCTAAAATAATAATATTTATATGAAAATCTTATTATTTTTAAAATTTTTATAAAATTTCGCTTTATTTGAGTACCTACATTACATAATTTTGAAAAATTTTTTTTTTGAATAATAACAGGGCCTGCTAATTTTTGTAATTATAGTTGCGGGTGGAAGACATTGTTCAATCCATAAAAGTAAATACTTTCCTAAATTAGTACATAAAAAAATAACTTTCTAGACCATAGCCAGGTTAGCAACTCTAAAAAAAAAATTTATGACCCACCCTAATATATATATATATATATATATATATATATATATATATATATATATATATATATATATATATATATATATATATATATATATATATATATATATATATATATATATATATATATATATATATATATATATATATATATATTGAAATAAAATATTCATTATATTATATGTCTTTATGTTATTGTTTCGATACATTCTTTATGTTATTACGAGTTTCTAAATTTGTCTATTTATTATTTATTTTCACCAAGTATATATATATATATATATATATATATATATATATATTTGCTTTTTATTTTTATTTTTTTCTTTACCTGAGCTAGGTATGACGAAAAAGGTTCTTCAAGTATATTCCACAGATGTGCTCTTGTTTTAATTAAAAGCTGTTTATAAGGTTTCATATCTTTTAGTTTAAACATCATTGCATCTATTTCTTCTTCGCTATCTTCTTTTGTTTTATAAATGAGGGAGTCAAACATTTTTAGATTTTTTTGTGCATCGCGATGTTGGTTGTAATTACTCCAACAACAAGGCTCCATCATTCGCTCGTCTAAACCCCAAAATATGAGTTCCTGTATAAATAAAACAGACAAACTTTTTAACATTGTTAATTTTTCAATTTAGCTAACAAATTAGTTTTAAAAAAACGAAGAAACGATCTAGTTAAGTAATTGTTAATTTAAGAATAATAATTTTATTCATACTTCTTCAAATAAGGGGCCGCAAACATCGTTTGGGCAATGAAGTTTTCCTGTTCTAAAGTAGTTTAGTATATTTTGAAAACACCCAGGATGTCGATCAAAAAAAAATTCATTCCTTTCTGAACCAGAATTTTCATTATTTAAAGCTGCTTCTGCTATCCATGATAACCGCGTGTCAGGAAAATTTAAAATAGTACTTATGTAGCATTCATGCTTTGTCCCCCCTACATTTATTATTACTCGATTAGGTTTACCGTCAGATTCAAGATTGTTGTTGGTCGCGAAGTTTCCTGGTGACATCGCATCTGATTGGCAATGATTTTTGTATTTTTCCATACTAAACAATTTTTAGTAAGCAAATGAAAATTAAGAGAGATAATTGCATAATTATAAACAGTTCATAAGTACACTTTTATACTTTTATTGAACTTGCAACAACTAACTTAGATAAGCCGAAATTTGTTTAATAATTTGATTTTACAAATTTTGTAGCTTGTTTGTGTTGTAAGTTAATTCATAAAAAAAATTTTAATTTTTAACATATTTTAGTTCACTATGTTTTTCTGCTTACTGAAGAAGCTCCGATACAGGTATTTAGAAGGGTATGTTTTTAAAAAGGTATGTTTTTAGAAAGGTATGTTTTTAGAATGGGAATGTTTTTAGAAGGGTATGTTTTTAGAAGGGTATGTTTTTGAAAGAGTATGTTTTTAGAAGGACATATTTAGAATGTATTTTTTGTAAAGTATAAGTAAGAACTAGGTAATATAATAAAATTCTACAAGTACCTAAGATGTCAACTACCTCGTATCTATTATAATAAACTATCAAATAGGATGTCAGTTATCTAGTACCTAGGATGTTAATTGGATCCAAAGATATCCTTAAAAATTCACTTTAAATATAATCATTTTAAACAAACTTTAAAATTGTACAAAAAACAAAGCAATAAATAAGTAATTATCATTGAGTCAAGAAATTTAAGAAAATTATCAAAAGAAACTCAAGTTTTATTTCTAAAAACGAGTATAATTAATTTTACGCAAATTTTACAAGCTTCTTCAAAACCAGTATAAAAAATGTACCACACAAATAATATTGTTGAGATAATATTTAGGAGCCATACCTTTCATTTTGTTATCATCGGACATTCAAAATAAAGCAAAACTCACTTAGTTTAAAAATAAGTTACACAGTTTTTTGTGAAAAAATAAAATCATTTTATTTTATGTATAGGTGATACAGATTATAAAATAATATATAATATATAATAAAAAAAATATATATATATATATATATATATATATATATATATATATATATATATATATATATATATATATATACATGGTGTTAACAGGGTTACTTTGTAATGTAATTTAATAACGTTTTGGTTATATAACTATAATATAAAAATTATATATCTGTGTGTTTTTGTGTGTTTTATATGTATACATTGTTTTTGTGAAAGCGTGTATTTATGATAGGTACCGCGCGCCTGTACATTTTGTTTCATCAAATTGTTGATGAAACAAAATGTACAGGCGAATATATGAAAATTCTCATTTTTTTTCTCTAAATGTCCAAATGAATATACCAATTGAACGTCAAATAATTAGTTTTATTTTGAAACAATATATACCTGTTCCAAAATATCTATAACTATTTCTTTTCTGAAACTTAATAGATGTTTCAGAAGAAGCTTCTTTTTTAATTTTATATATTCATTTTTGTTACTTTTTACCATTACCTTTATTATTTCTCATTCAACTTAAAATAATAAATTGAAAAACTTTTAAGTTATTAAAAACAAATAAAAACATTCTTTTTATAATTACTTACGACTAGCGTAAAAAACCAAACATTTAAAACGTGAATATTCGTTTTACAATTAAATAAATGTAAGAAACGATTTAAATGAATGCATTATTGATACTCTTTGCCTGACGCGCATGAATCAAGAAATTGAATTTTTTTTTTACTAATATGTAACTTTAAAAACTTTGAAACGGTAGTAAATTTGTGGCATAAACAAACATTTTAGCTTAATAATTCAGTCTTTAAATATATTTGGTTTACTTTTTTTTAAATTTATCAGTTTTAAATTTAGTCTTTAAATGCGTTTCATATGTTTAACATTTATATATTTTGTTCTATTAAATTTAAATTTAAAATTATAAACGCGATTATAACGTTAGTTTGTTATATTCTAGCTTAAAAACGGTTAAAATAATGGATATTCTCTGCATTTAAGTGTGTCGTGTGAATAAAATACTAAAGAAGTTTTTTGGTTTGGTTTTGCTGTTGAAAAACGTTTTTTTCTTAAAAAAAAAAAGAAAAAAAAAGACAGCAAAAAAACATTTCAACAACTACAATAAACCGAGTTATGCGACAAAGGCACATGGCAGGATCAAAATTATTATTTAAAAAACAGTGTTTCTCGATACAATTTCTAAAAGTCACTACGATTAATGAATTTCGACCTAATACGATCTCACTGCGATTAATGAATTTTGACTTCATACGATTTTACTACGATGGAAGTCCGATTGAAAAAAGGTTTTCATTATTATTAACCAAAATATAGAATAAAGAGCAGAATAAAAGAATAGGTGAGGAGTTGCAAAAACAAACGAAACTAACTATTTTTTTCTATACTTTCGCAGTTCAGAACCAAATATGAAAAGTAAAATTAATTATTTATCTAGATATATTTAAAAAATCCGGAAAAAGTTCTACAATTTGTACAGGCTAATGTTACTATATTCATTTGTACTTAACAGGTAGAATTAGGGTTAAAAGTTTCTGAAAACTTTCCAGAAAATATCTGGAAACTTTTGCTCAAAATTTCCGGAATTTTTAAAAAAATTTTAATTGCAATAAACTTATATAGTTTTATAAATATAATTTCTTTGTTTAAAAAATGTGCGTTTTAATATCGTTTTTTTAGGTATTGTTCAAATATTTCGACCAAAACTATAAAATAATAAAGACCCACAAGCAAATAATTCACATATTTTACTCTAATTTTATAATCAATGTTTTAAATGAGAACCGCGCATTTGTTTAAAAAAACCAATAATACGTTTCTGTTACGTAAATCTAGTAAAACGAATACGTAACAACAGTTCCTATCAAGTTAACTTGATAATGAACTTAAATTGCACATTCCAACATCAGGTGCAATACCTCTATGCTATTTATTTAATACAAAAAAATTATTTATTTCACAAAATCTTCGTAACTCGACTTTTTCTGACTTTTACTTTATGATCCTTCGTTTTTCTTAAAATCACATACTTTTGGTCTGAGAAGCAGGTTATGATGCTCTTTAGTGAGCTGAGTTTGTCTTTGCTGGTCTTGATGTGTGGCCTCTATATGGGATTTAGCCGGAGGACTATAAACTAAAATACGAAAAAGCAAAAATACGCTTTTGATAGAGTTGATAGAGCTTTTTTGTTTGATAGTTTGAAGTAGGGGAGATAAGGGCGCATTGATCGCCAGGGCAGAATGATCTTTTAGCTTTTACTCGTTTACTTTTGCCTTAATTTAACAGAGATTGCAATTTCATTAACCATTATACTACCCTTCATTGCTTAATCGTAATAATTTTTGATAAGATCAACTTCAGCGTTAAGAAAATTGAAAAGATTCTTTTTCATCATGATAAGTGATTTTTGTAAACAAATTCAAATAAATTTTTAATTAGATTTCCGTATGACTTTACAAACAATTTATTGTAAACTCATATGTGTTAAATTTATAATAAACTTGTTTTTTTGAGTTGGTTACTGTATATATAGAAGTTATTGGCATCAATATATCAACTGTACCTAATGGGGCACATTGATCGTTGACTATGCGGGGCTCATTGATCGGAGGATCAAAGTGCCCCATTTAACTTATATTATAAGACTTAAATTTTTTGTTTAAATTTTATACATTTAAACTTATGACGAATAAAAAATCTTTATAGAAACTTTTAAAATTTCATTTTGAAAATGTAATAGTGTTAAAAACTAATATTAATAACATTAGTTTTTAGTTTTACATAAGTTTTACAATTAGTTTACATAATATTATTATATAAAATATTTTTTTTTAACAATCATTTTATTTTACTATTTTTTAAATTTTCAGATCTTTAAATGGTTAGGTATAGAAAAAAAAAAAAAAAACAGAGTTGCTATATCATGTGATACAATGAAATCAGCTGTTAATAATGTTTTATAGGGCAGACCAGTGAATGTTGTAGCTCGCAAGTTTAACATAAATCGAATGACCTTAAAAAGATATTGTAATAAAAAGAAGCTCAATCCAATTAAATCTTTTAAGCCTAATTACAACAGTAAACAAGTTTTGACTGCAGAAGATGAAAAAGGTTTGTCTAGTTATTTACTACTTGCATCAAAAATGAATTATGGACTTTCAACTAAGTCAACGCGATTATTGGCATACGAGTTTGCTGTAAAAAATAATAAGATTTGCCCTTCATCATGGATTAAGAATAAAATTGCAGGGATTGATTGGTTGCAAGGTTTTATGAAAAGACAACCAGAGTTGTCTTTACGAACACCTGAAGCAACTAGCTTTGCTCGATAAACTGCTTTTAACCGACACACTGTAGGAGATTTATTCCAAAATCTAAAAACAGTAAGAAATCGATATAAGTTTAATCCTTATTGCACATATAATGTTGATGAAACTGGTTTAACAACGGTAAAAAAGCCAGTAAAAGTGTTAGCAGGTAAAGGAAGTAAACAAGTAGGAAGAATCACATCTGCAGGACGAGGAACATTAGTAACTGTGTGTTGTGCTTCAAATACAATTGGAAACTCTATTACACCACTATTTGTTTTTCCTAGGGTCAAATTTCTTGATTACATGATAAAGGAAGGTCCTCCTGGATGCGCGGAATTTGCAAATCTTTCTGGTTGGATGAATTCAGACATTTTTAAAGAATGGATAAAACATTCAGTGAGGTATTAAAACTGTTTTCATGAATCTCCAGTTTTGTTACTTCTGGACAGCCATAAAAGTCATATTTCTGTTAGAGCTTTGGATCTTGCAATTCAACATGGAATTACAATGCTAAGTTTTTTTCCCCATTGTACCCATAAATTGCATTGAAAAGGTTTTACAATGCTGCGTGTGATAATTGGATGGCCGAAAATCCAAGACCTATGACCATTTATGATATTGATTCAATAGTTCGCGAAACATATACAAAAGCTTTCTTACCATCTAATATACAGAGAGGATTTCAAGTAGCTGGCATTGAGCCATTTAATTCAGAAATTTTTAAAGATGATGAATATTTACCATCATCAGTTACAGATTGTGCTGCTTTAGTTGTAGTGAACACAATTCTTGTGAACCTGAAATGACTGTAGTACATGTTGATAGCATGGAGCCTGAAATGCCTGTAGTACATCATGAAACAAGTTTTTCGAACAAAGTGTCATCAAGCATTGCTTCATTACTCTCACCTGAAGTTTTGAAACCTTACCCGAAAGCATCTCCTAGAAAAAGAAGTGTTAATAGTAGGCAATTAAAAACCAGGATTTTGACTGATACTCCAATCAGAAATGAAATTCGTTTGTCAGAAGAAAAGAAAACTCTAAAACAAATCAACCAACAAAAAAAGGGGTGAAGTTAAAAACTACTTGCTTAGGAACAAAAAACATTATAATGTAAAAGCAGCATTGCGACTTGGACGCAATGCTGCTTTTACATTATAATGTATACTTTTGGGGAAATTTTCAAAAAAAAAATTATTTCAAAAAAAATTATATATATATATATATATATATATATATATATATATATATATATATATATATATATATATATATATATATATATATATATATATACATATATATATATGTATATATATATATATATATGTATATATATATATATATATATATATATATATATATATATATATATATATATATATATATATATATATATATATATATATATATATATATATATATATATATATATATATATATATATATATATATATATATATATATATATATATATATGTATGTATGTATATATATGTATATATAATATAACTAAACTAGAACAATCTGTTTATAAGTAAAAATAAATGTTTTAATAAAAAAAATTTGATGATTATGGTATATTTCAACATTACAACAACCCTTGCAAAAGATCAATGTACCCCATGCAATGGGGTACTATGATGTCCGATATAAGGCGCTTTGATCTTATATGAGTAATACTATTTACATTTTCAATAATGCTATACCTAAGTGCAACAAATGCATTTGTTAAAGGGTATTAGTGTATTATATATATATATTCTCGAAATTCTCGAAATTCTCTTTTAAACAGCACATTTTATATTTTTTAATTCATCGATTTATAATGAATTATATAGTGCGACTAAAAAGCACTAGTTTAAACATAGCGGCGGAATTTATTACCTCGAAATTATTAGACCTTCATATTTATTGCTTAATATATAGTTCAAATTTAGCAAAAATGTTTCTTTACTTTTTGTGTTTCATTAATCAATAACTTTGTTAAATCAAGAAAAAATTGTAAAATAAATATTCAATCAAATTTTATATAGTTTTACAGTCTTTAGTAACTTTAAGGCCAATTTAATAGACATTGAAAAATGTCCCTTACTCTTTAGGGATGGGGGTGGAAATTATATTTAGCCTGCTAAGGCAATGAAAGTCAGTATGCCTTGTAAATAGCAGGATAAAACAGTTTGAGAAAATTTTTGAAAACAAATTATAAAAAAACTCAACAAAAATACTTAAAAAAGTGTTTTTTAAAAGGGGGCGTTCTAAAATTTTTATAATCTGCTTTACAATATTTTACCAATAAATTATTTATAACAACTGCTTAAATAAGACATAAAATTTTACCCATTGATTATAAAATATTTAATTTTTTTTGAAAATTTCCCCAAAATTTCCCTAGTTGAAATTATTCGGGAAATTTTCATCTCTTAACAGAGATAAGCAAATAATTTTTTTTTTCAGGTATACTTATTGTAAAAAATATTATATAAAATAGATATATAAATTATAATAGATATTTTAAATCTTGTGCAATTAATACAATGTTAAACAGTTATTAATTGCGTAAAATTAAATACAAAAACATAAGAGATAAAACTTACACAACAAATGATTTGAGAATCCATTTTTCTTTATTCTTAAATTTTTTTACTCAGCAAATTGATTGTTATTTGTGTTCAGTTGTATGAGTAGAATTTAGCACTTTAACTTTTGGTAAAATAAAAATGTTTCCGCCTAGAGTTGCTTTCAAGTATATTTTGATTGCTACTTTAAAAAGTAGAAATAAAACCACTGGATGTTTCTAACAAAAAAGTTTTCGAAAATTGTGGTGTGCTAACTTTTATTGCTGTCATTTGAAACATTTTCGTAATCAAAAAATTGCTTAAGAGTTGTTTTAGTGTTTCTTAATATTATGTATCATTAACAATTTATTAAAAAGCATTTATACGAACATTAAAATCTGTTTCATTTACTAGCTTGTAGACTCAGCAGGCTGATGGATAATTCGGATTTTCGCCACAGGGTTTTTATACAATATATCAGCGTATAACTTCTTCTTTATATATATATATATATATATATATATATATATATATATATATATATATATATATATATATATATATATATATATATATATATATATATATATATATATATATATATATATATATATCTTACTTATTTTTAAAATTAAAATACCGGAAATAACGATGTAAAAAACTTTGTTATTTAGTAGCCAAATACTAAATTTTTCGAACCCCACAATGATGTAAACATTTTTTTATTAGTTTTTTTTAACAACTGAATACTATTTTAAAGTTTTTTTTTTTAGCATAATTATGTAAAACTTTTTGTTTTGCGTCAATAAATTGATTTAACATTCAATTTATTTATTTTTTAACATATGATATTATAAATAAATAACATATTTATTTTAACAGAATAATCGTAAAACAGCATGTAAATGCTGTTCTATATTTTACAAGTTGCGTTAATAGATTAGCTTTCAGTACTGACGTAGAAGTTGTTTTAGCTTTGTTTAAGCGATATCAACTAATCCCTAAAACTTATAGTTACACTATAGCAAGCATTAAAGCTTCACTTATTTATCAACATATTATGATGTTACAACATATTGTATTTATCAACATATTATGATGTTAATGGCTAAATATTGTAGCTATCAACATATTAAGATGATAATAGCTATATATTGTAGCTTTATTGCTCGCTAAAGCGTTACAATAAATCTATATTGTACATATCGCGGTTTTTTTGTTAGCCATATTTAAACTATATATTGTTTAAATATGGCTGACTAAAACTCTGTGATATGTGTGCATATGTATGTGTATATATCGTGGGTTTTTATTAGCCGCTTTAAAATAATATAATAAAACAAGTGATATCACAATATATTGCGATATCGCTTATTTTGTTTAATTACATTATCTTTACGATATATAAATATTTATCGATAGCTTTGTTACTAGGTGGCTATAACCACCTTTCACTATATAGTGAAAGGTGGTTATAGCCACCTTTCACTATATAGTGAAATAGATAAATATTTATATATTGAATAAAAAAAAAAAATTATATATTGAACAAAAAAAAGGCGCCCCTAAATATTTATATATTGAACAAAAAAAAGGCGCCCCTAAACCTATATCGAATAATCATAATTATTTATAAATTTATTTGAATTTTTATAAAACTGTTTCTACAATTAGTTTAAAATAAACAACAAAGATTTTAAACAACATAGTTTAAAGTGTTTTATAAAAAAACCTTGGCGCGAAAACTAATTGTTTTTACGCAATAGAATTACGTAAATGAATTGGTGTCTATTATTACTTTGACCGAGTATTTTTGTTTTTAATGAATTGATTTTCGAAAATTTTTAAATCATTATTCTTTACTGTAGAAATGCATCGTTGGAGCGACTCAGAGCCGACGACACCGGAGTGGCTGGATGTCACGAGCCCCTCAATTTTTTTTTAACTGTAAACATGTTTTGCTTATATGTTTAACTTATATCATGAGATACATGGCGACGACTATTCATATACCTAGGGGCGCCACAGAAACAAACGCGGCACTGGAAATACCTAGCACTTAAATTTTTAATATTTTGACAATTAAACTTTTGATATTTTAACAATTAAATTTCTGATATTTTACAATAAATTTTAAATATTTTAACAATTAAACTTCTAATATTTTTAAATATTTATTAACAATTAAATTTCTGATATTTTAACAGTTATATTTCTAATATTTTAACAATTAAACATATTTTACTTAGTACTAAATAAAAGGTTTTATACTGTTTTGTTTAACCATCTATTAGAGAATCAAATTAAGATTTTATTTCTTATTTAATTATTTTAATTTAATTACCATTTGCGAAATTTTAATTTATTATTATTTGCGATGATGATATGAGAGGCCGAAATACAAAATGACTATTGGCATGATGAATATTGATGAAAAGCGGTAATCTTCAATTGATACATTCTCTTGATGGCTTTGTTAAATGCAAGGTCGTTGGGAATGAAAAATAGCTTGGAAATACCTTTGTCAAAAGCGGCCAGCAAGACAAACACCATGGGTTGAAACACTTTTTGCAATATTTAACGCTCACCTGAGTTTTTTCTCTGCTACTGGTGTATTAGGTACCGTTTCATTGGTTGTTGGAAATATATATATATATATATACATATATATATATATATATATATATATATATATATATATATATATATATATATATATATATATATATATATATATTTGTCACAAAGAATTGCGGAAGTGCGTTTAACGAGGAAGTTCACTCCTCCTTTCCTACCAATGACAAAACATGTCCATACACATTGAACCCTAGATCTCTTGTTTCTTATGCAAGTGTTCGAACAATTGCATAGCTGATTAATTTTTTTAAAATGTGAAGGCATCTTTAAAGAGAAATAAATTTTCCTTAGTATTAGGTTTAAAGAGTCAAGTCTGCTGTGATATTGCCTAGTTTTTGTTATAGTTGTCCAATTTTTCTATTGGAAAAGTTGATGAGTGCAAAAAGAGTTCTTCTTCTGCAATAGTGTTGAACCTTATAGATCTTCAAATATCTTCCATCAACGTTTACCAAGACGTGTGCATTATTAACTTGTAAAAGTATTTGCATATTGTAATCATAATCGGATTTCGGACATTATTGAGTTCTTCATTAAGCATTTTCATGTTATCAAAAAAAAGCTCAATGTGCAAGAAATAAAGTTTTTCTAAAAAAACTTTTAAATAAATAAATTCTTCATTCACTATGTTTTAATATATTAAATATCATTAAACACTATAATAAATTACTTATTATAAATAAAATATTAAACAAGAATTATAGAAAAGTGTCATTTTAGGTGCTCGGTGCATATTAAATTGTTCATCGTCCTTACCTCTAGGGCGTATTTTTATGAAATATTCATTTCTGTTATTGTGGTTTAACCTTCTCCGGCTAATTGCCATATAGAGGCCACTTTACCACGGTCCACAAATACTAGTTGAGTTCCCGAAGGAGCATCATACCCGCTCTACGGATCGAGAGTAAGGTGAGTTTGGGAAGAACAAAAAGAAAGATAGAAGTAGTCGAGTTAGAAATATAGCATAGAGTAAGCAGATAGGATTGCACACAATGCTAGTGGGTGCAATACATTTTGTTAGTTAGGTCACCTAACTAATGTACGCCGACAAAGTTGTGATTGGAGTTCACATTTTATAAACTCTTTCTCGATTTTCTTTGTCGTCCGTCAGGGTTCTTCAAGACTTTCCTCTGTCCGTCAGGGATCTTTCAAGACTTATTCTTATTCAAAATCAAATTATGGTAAGACTTTTATCTTAAATATTTTTTATTGTGTGTCTGTTTGCCTTAAATTCGTCCTAATGTTACTTCTTGCCCAACATGTTTTATGAATTTAATAAAAGTATATCAGCGTACTTTGTTTAAAATGGAACAAGTTAGGGTATTTGGCTGAGCAGTAGTATATCCTCTCAAATGTTGCAACATAAGAAGGCTATGACGCAGACGTAGATGCGGGTTTTACTTGCTTGTTTTTATGATGTTACCCTGACGGGAGTTTCTAGGAATGAGAATTAAAACATTCGAAAACGTCAAATACCAGAGTATTGAATTATTATAAGGGTCAATACAATGTCCACTTCCTGACAAGAATCTGGTATTACACTACATAATTTTCAATTTTATTTTAATGCTGATATATTTTTATTCTTTTTCTTTAAGCATTTTTGCACGCACTTCCCCTTTATATTAGATGTATTTTTTTTGTTGTTTGTTGTAACACTTCTGCTTTATAGTTATACTTTATGTCTAATGAATTGAGTAAAATGTTATATTATGTTAACGGGGAAACATATTATGCTTACGACAACCATGGCAATTGTTTATAATTGTTTTGATTTTTCTAATATGTTTTTGTATATTTACCTTATAAGTTTATATAGGTTTAGTTAGACTATTTCTATTTTTTATCTAAGGCTGAAGGTGTTCGGGTTGCATGAAAATAAACAGATTTATTGTGTTTGTCGCTCTTTGAGCATATAAGCTAAATTTAAAACGAATATTTTTGTTATATGGGTGCATGTTTTTATAAAACAAATTCACAAAAACGATCAACTCCACTAAACGGTATTAATTATAATTGAACCTGTAGTAAGTTAAACAAAACTGGAATTAAGTAAAAACAATAACTATTTCTAATAAAATCAATCACTTCCTTTATCTAAGGCATTTACGGCTAAATATGTTCAACTAGTGACTACTCACTTGTTCTAGTTGCGAACCTTATATATTAAGAGAACATAATAAGATCGAAACTGAACAAGACTGAGAATCAAATTATTTACTTACACACACATTCAAACAAATAAAGACATTAAATGACAGATAAAACTTTAACATTTAGGACAGTACAAACACAAAACACAATAACTTACAGAACACTGAAATAATACTCACTTAACTTAAACGTAATCACTAAATAGTACTCCTCTTTAAAACACCAACTCTCAATACTGGACATCTGTCCAAATATTATAATTTATCTTGCAATTCCTTGTACTTATATAAAATATTTCTTACTTTTCTTAAGACTATTATAGCCCGATGGTTCTATATAAGTGGTAGAACTTTAATAGCTTCCACTGCGAAACAATAGCAGAAATATGTATTTCTTCCATTCTCAAAAACAAGATCTAAAATTTAATTATTTTCAATGTTAAAAATGATCGTTCTGTAAAATATATACTTATGGGTGAACATAACAAAATTATTAGTGCTATATCTATGTATGGACAAATAACTACAAAATTATTTTGTTTTATAAACGTACACATATATTGAATTGTTTTGGAGTATCAGTACCAACGTTTTTTAAATGGTCTCCAGTATAAAGAGATTCAAAAATTTTAGAAAAAAATACATCAGTATAATATTCTGATATCGTTCTATCCAAAATAGAATAAGATGTATA